GCTAAGACAATAACAAAAATTGTCAACTCTGAAAAATACAAAGCAAAATTAGAATCTCATTACACAAACAAAGCTGTGATAATGGGTGGGTGGGAAGATAAATTCAAATAAACGTGTCGTTCTATCAGTGTGTCTCAAGATAACACGCCGTTACTCACTATTTATACTAATACCCGTATGTAAAATATTGCCGCCAAAACTGGCGTATTAATATATTTTACATCCTGTATTATCTTAAATATTAGTTTAACAAGTTTATTTTTTATAAATTACAATTATTTAGCAAAATAGAACTTATTAAATATATTGAATATAGTATCATAATGAAAGTTTGTTTTACACCTAATTTTTGTGCCCCTACTTTAGTGGCGGGCATTTAGATTTACCCTTGTCCGTCCGTCCGCCCGTTCGTCCGTCCGTCCTTCCGTCCGTCCGTTCTATTTTGTGTCGCACGTAACTCAAAACGTATTTGACCTAGAGTCATGAAACTTTACAGGAATGTTGATCAGCATGTGTAGTTGTGAACTTGTTTTTTTTCGTCTGGATATTTTTAGTATTTTTAGAGTTATTGCCCTTGACTAAGTAAAATTTTGCAATTTTCAACTTGTGTCGCATGTAACTCAAAAAGTATTGACCTAGAGTCATGAAACTTTACAGGAATGTTGATCAGCATGTGTAGTTGTGCACCTGGGTATTTTCGTCTTGATTTATATAGTATTTTTTAGAGTTATTGCCCTTGACTTAGTAAAATTTTGCAATTTTCAACTTGTGTCGCATGTAACTCAAAAAGGATTTGACATAGAGTCATTAAACTTTACGGGAAGGTTGCTCAGCATATTTATTTTTGCACCTTGGGTTTCGCTTGTGGATTTATCCAGTATTTGTAGAGTTATTTCCCTTAACTTAGTAAAAACCGTTTCATTATGTTGTAATTTGTTCCTTGAGTGCTTGAGTTATAATCAACCCACTTTACAGGAATAATGATCAATAATTACAGGAATAATGATTCACATCAATGTGAAGCTATGAACCTGGGACTTTGCATGTGGATCTTTTTTCAGTTTTGTTAGAGTCATTGCCCTTGACTTACAGTAGTATAAATTTGCAATTTTCAACTTGTTCATGCATAGCTCAAAAAGTATTTCACTTGTAGGCCTGACAGTTTACAAGAATGTTGGTCAGCATGTGTACTTATGCACCTTGGGGTTTGCTTGTGGATTTATTCAGTATTTGTAAAGTTCTTGCCCTTTACTTAGTAAAAAATTTTAGTTTTCAAAAAATATTTGACCTAGAGTCATAAGATTGACAGAACAGTGGCGCGGTGGGGGCACCCGTGTCCTATGGACACATTTGTTTGAAAGATTATATGCCGGAGAAATGGACTTTTTTCTTGGCGCATAAAGGGATACCTGTTCTACAAAGGGAACTTGTATCATAGTTTGGGGACCTTTCTGTTGAAAATGTGTCAGAGTAAAATCGTATACATATACATGCACAGTGCGTTAACTGGAGTGCCGGTATTAGTTACCCGCACTCGAGAGCATGTCCATTGAATGGCTCATTTTTGCTGGGGTTTACTTATTGTGACGGTAGAGAAAGCGAAAGCGACAAAAATACCATATACAGATGCTCGTTCATTGATTACTTTTTTTCTGGGGTTTCATATTGTGACAACAGGGAACGTGGTTTATGTTTGACTATGATACAAATGAGAAAGAACATCAAAACACTCGGCAATCTGATTAATACTTGGAGGCTACACCTATCATACAAATCAGATAGCCTCATGTTTCAAAGCTCTTTCTATTACTTAATTTAAAATAAATGATATGTTAATATATATGTTAAAAGTAGTATCAAAATAAAAGTTTCTTGTAAAATTCAATAAGCAAAGTTTCGGTTGATGTTTCGGTAAGTATATGGAAACATTTCATCTAATTTTCCAAAACGGGCATATAGTATATAAATGAAACAATTTTAAGTCCAGGATTTACATAGATAATGTTTATATCATTTGATTGGAATAAACAGTATATAAAGCTGCATGCCTCCAACCACAATATTTGATGAAAATCAAACTTGAGTAAAATTTGTGCCTTTTGCGCCAAAAAATCTCCTTTGCGTTATTTAGTCATACCAGTTCAAAAGTTTAATGAGCAGCAAAATTTCGGTACACGGTTCACTCGGTCATATAATAGTACATGGTGATACTTTAGCTATAACGTTCACTATTATTTTCTATCGGAACATGAAATAGTAAAACACTATTCAGAAAACAACACGGTAATCGACTTCTACAGTTTAAAATATTAAAACGGCATGAAACATCCACGTAGCGCCAAGTAAAGTAAATGATATTTTCCGATTTTTCTATGTACCGTTTTGTTCACTTCGATGTTAATTTTTCGTTTAAGTTAAGTCGTATTTTGAAACGGAGCATGCGCAAAACAATTTTTGTAGACTGCTCCTAATGATTTTACGCTTTAAATGATAATCATTCACTACAATCAGATACACAAAAATGGATGCCGCCAGCAATCAGTCTGAACACTGTGGAGAGGTCTGATGACCTCTCCAATATCTTAAAGTGTTAAGAATAACCTTAACGTAACGTAAATAAATATATTTATCATTTATCGGCAAACAGAACATTAAAGATTCAGATTTGTGGCACTTAAAGGCTTCTGTCCTAAAACTGAACTGACTTGTTTCAGTCCATTGATATCTACTTACAGTTAAAAAGTCAAATGTCTTGCAAAAATGTAGATGAATTTAGTACAGTTGTTTCTGAGTGGCAAAACAGAAAAACGTGCTTTCGCAAATATTTCCGCACGCAAAAAGTCCGTTTTGAACATTCGCAAACTTTTTGTGACGTAAATATATTCACTAATACAGTATTTCAGATTTTAATCTGATACCTAATGATTTTTTTTATATAAGTAGAGTGCAATTTACAAGAATCCACTTTATACCTTTTGAGTAAATTTCCTTTGTATATTTTGTTTCTATAATTTTTGTTGGAAATATTTGAACAATATTGGAGATATCAACTTTAAACTTTGTCAGTTTTATAAAAAATGTTGAATTCTGCTAAGACCGGTGTCGGGGGGCGGGGAACACGTGGACGGTAGCTAGCACTTACCACTTCTTTCCATGAACAGGCTTATTTAAACCGAGCCAGCATCATTTACTTATTTTGGCCGTTTATGGATACCGTTCTTTCCTCTTTTTTAGAAATGAATTGATCTCATTGAAAAAAAAGATAATAGAGGATAATTTGAATATGAGTGAATATGTTACATAACATATTTCGAAGTAAATAAATAGAGAATATTTGTTTTTCATCGGGTGAGCTTTAAAAATAGTATTCTCGCGAGTGACTAGTAACGCAATATTCATTAATGGGTATACATCATTTCCAATATAAAGGTCTCCAAACGATAATACAATTGATTGAAACATGTTCATTATCTGATAGTTTTATGACGGTACGTTAATAATATTCATGTACGTCCGTTCAAATATATTAAATGATTTGTTTGCTTAATTGGGAATATTAATACTATGTTACTCTTTTATGTTAATTTGGACAGCTATTTTGTAATTTATATATCAAGATAAATAATGCCGTTAAGGAGAATTTGAAAACCTGTCAAAAGATGTCGATAAATTATGTTTGGTGAACACTAGGTTGTTCTGAGTTGGTTATATTATTTTTCTGTGGCTATATTATTTGTCTGCAATTATCATATCGTTTTCTGTGATAACAAATACATTTATGAATTCTGCTGTCTGACAATCTTCAATAAGTTGTAAAACCTGTAGCATTTTTTCTATGATAATATATTATGATTTAGTTGATAGATTCCTTATTCAAATTGTCTTTGTTCTAATTAGGATATAATTATTATAATAAATTAATGTTATTGTCGATTCACTTTCACACAGTTCTTTAACCGTTCAAAAGCTTTGTAAGAATTGAGAAAATCCATATCATTTATGACATTTCTAGTACATCAAGTCTAGCAACTGTATTTAAAAAAAATGAATGGTTGATGAAAATTTATTTTAATCTGTTTTACACTCTATACACTGTTCTTACTGCGGATGCGTAACTTTAAATAAAGATGTTTCATATGTGTGTCGTAATTGCATTAATTGTAATTTGCATTTTATGTATGAATAACTCAATAGAAATGAAGTTATTGTTTTCTTTTGATTTAGCAATCAAACTTAATGTATACTTTAACTACGTGCTAGTAACATTTTTATGAGAGCTTTAAGTTTCCTCATGCTTACTTTTGTTTGTTATTTTGTTGGGTGTTTCGTTGGACCAACACAGTATATGTCATATGGCGAATTTTCAGCTATATTGTTTAAGGAAGACATCAGGTGTCCCTATGATTGTATTTGCATAGTTTTATGCTTTCGTAAGTGATATTAATTTCTATTTTCATGTATGGTGTACAGGTCAATAGGTCGATTTCTGTATGCTTTACTGGATAAATCTTGAATACTAAATCTGACTTGCCCCGAGTAACTGAATTTAATGAATGAATTAAGTAATTGTAAATATCAATAAATATTTGATGTACGACAGAGATCAACCTTGAAGTATACAATCCTATTTTATCTTAAGATCAGTGAAAGTTGCTGGTTATTAGTGTATCCTAGGTGGAGCCGAATCAGCGCAACACAGGTTCATTTATAAGCTTGAATACATTTCAAATTATGTTTTTTTTTGTCGGGCATGTAAATTTTCGTGCACATAATTTTTTTCTTGAGCTGTTCTGCGTCTAATTAAAACTTACATACCTAAAACAAAGAAAAAACTGTTCAATTTATCAATTACACGATCCATTTCTTTACATATCATTCCTTCATTAATGATTTTTCAATTGTGCGGTTGTAATATGCAGTATAGACGTACAATCAACGTCACTCACGGTAGAGTGCGCAACTTATTTTCATACGTTGTGATACACTGCAAAAGGTAACATTATCATATTTACACACCATGAAGTTCATTGTTGAAGGTATATATAAGTATAGCTCTCGTCAGTCAAGAAAAACAAGATGAAACTAAAAGCAGTTGTCATACAGTGTAAAGGAAGTGAAGAAAGTTAAGTTTTTGGCCAAATGTTTATGTTATTTGTAAGATAGACAGTGGATCGGAAATTGATAGTTGATGTTGATTAAGTCTTGAAACGGAAAACGTCCAATTGTGATCAAGCGGCGATGGTGTAAAGTTTAAAACCATGGATAAACAAAGCTGACACATGTGAGTATATGTTCTCTTTATTTCTTTTGATGTATTTTGTGAAACTAAAGACCATTTGAACAGTGTGTATATCATTGATGTTTTAATAGTTTAAGGCTAGTGATACTCCCGTTTGTGTAAGATATGTTAGAATGATAGGTAAATAAATTATTTCAGCCTTGTTCACACAATTTCTTGGCATGGGATTGATTGTTGCGGTTGTGAATAATTGTAACACAGTTACATAGTGCAATTGCGTGTGTTCGAGTCAGAACTCAAATATTTCAATTTTTCTTTTGTACTTATGATGTCATCGATATGTACAAATTATTAAAATTTCGAGATACTTTATTCAGTAAGTAAGACTTTTCTCGCTAAGTTGCTATGCGCTCTGTCAGTGTCTATTTTATCAAAACATTTTAAAAATACTAATAAGACAAATATGAGTGAGAATAGGGTTACAATATCCTGAATAAATGATTTAATCAAAATGACCTGTCTCAATAACATACATGAATAATTGCATTTTTTTAATATGTAACACAATGTGAATATATCACTCACTCACTCACTCACTCACTCACTCACTCACTCACTCACTCACTCACTCACAAACTCACCAACTCATTCACTCACTCACAAACTCACCAACTCACTCACTCACTCACTCACTCACTCACTTTCATGTCTAATTCATCTTTAGAGGTTTTTCAAATTTCACAACCGTATTTAGTTACTAATCAATCACCACAACTTAAATATGTCAAATTGTCAATGACTCATTGTTTATGAATTGACAATATATTACGGACTTACTGTCTAATATATAGCTTCAAGAACATGTAATTCGTCTTCCAGGCATGGACTTAAGTACTACATTAACTTATTTTGGCATTTTGAAAGAAAAAAAATCTATCAGAGGTAGTTGTTGTTGTCTTTTCTTTACATTTTAATAACATTTATGTCTCCATACATGCCGTGCATTTATTAACTCAAGTCGAATTTTGGTATGCTTTTTGTTGTTTTTAATGATTAAGCTTTAATTAAGTCTTTTAAGATCAGTTCTGTTAGATTTTTCTATTTTTGGATTTCAGGCTTTAAGATAATAACATTTTTAAAAATACAACCATGTGCCATATGATAAATAATGATTTAATAATGAATAAACACCTATTATAGACATTTCTCACAAAAACTGAGATATGACAAATTAAATCTAGAAAAAATCCCCGAAAGTTATAACTTCCCCAACAAATTTAATTTCTTTGTGAAATATTCTAACTTCCCGATTTGTTTTGGCTACCTCGCTCAATGCACACAATTTGTTGAAAGAAACACTGATTTGTAATATATATAAAAGGAATGAAGTTATTTACACAAACATATTAGAATATTTTCAAATTTAGACGTCGAATGCAAGATAAAATTTGTTGAAAAATTAAATGAATACATTGTTAATAAATGTATGATGTTAAATTTGTGACTAAGAACGTCTTCTTTTCGTATAGGTATATTATTTTAAAGCTATTAATTTTGTTGTTTCCATAGAGATTACTCTATCAGTGTATTAATGTAAGGTTGCAGTATATTAATTGAATTCTTATTTGTTTTTATCTTTTTTTTAAATTTTTTTTTTTTGATATTAATGCATTAATGTAATCATTTTCATTTGCTTTTTTGATTGTTTGATACAGTTGATTATAATTGAAATAAAACCACGTAGGATCACTTAAACACTGGTCTGAACTAGGAAATACTTAGCGTCAATATAAGTATAGGAGTTGTAATAGTGCTTTTGTTGTTTCTCAAGTGGACTCACTCATTTTCACTAAATATTTACATGTCCGGGTTTATGTGGCCATTTAATAAAAACTGTTTGTGTATCAGTTTCGATTTATGATTGTTTGTTTTATTGATATTTAGCGGACAAATGTTCCAACTAGACTCATTAGATATTGAGGAATATCCAGATAATTGTTGGTAATATAAAATATGACGTATAGTAATATAAAATACGACGTAAAAATGTCGGTCTCATTCATACAATAATCATTTTAAACAATGCGTTAATTAACCACACGCAATAATCAAGGGAATGAAAAAACGTTTCCTCTCGGATAGTAATCAGAATGTGTCTAGCTAAACTTCATATCAGTTGCGATCTTTATACAATAATTTAAATAAATAGATATCTAATTGATTACATTGACATTTTTAAAGTGTTTCCCAGTCGGCTCGTTTTAAAAGAAATAGCAAGTAAATTTATACATAGATCAAGCATCACTTTCTCAGTAGCGTTTAATGTAATTGTACATTTTGTATATTTTTGAATAGATCTAGACTAATTTATAAATGGTCAATATGTATGTCTTCTGTTCTCTTCAAATCTGAATAATAAAGACCATGCATACATAAGGATGTTTACAGTTATTTATAACTCACTGTTATGTGTTTCAGATAAAACTTTAAAGTACAAAAATGATTTACCCGCAAGCTATAAATAGTTGATATTTTGACACACTTGACAGCCGGGAATATATAAGACTGTTGTTCGGGGACAATATTGAGACCACGTGATGACGGTTAAGATAATAAAAGACAACTTACTGACAGACCCAATTACTTTAATGAAATATAGCTTTTATTTGATTTTGAAGCTTAAATTAAGAATCAAATTACATATTGAAAGAAAATACGTAAAAAACAACAATTTTCCCATTTCTGTGAGTAGAATCCTTTTTTTTACTCAATACACTTTGATACACTTTGTTCCACGTCACAACTGATTCAAACCATAAAAACTCGTTTCATCAATACGTTAGTCATGTCGTCAGTTTCACGAATGATCTTGAAAAATAAGCATTTTCATGTAAATATATTTGATGAGGTTTAAAGTTTAATGACTCAGCAACCGTATGCGCTAATTCATTTCTTTCAATTTGGTGTACAATGAAAAATATTGTTCCATTTACTTATCGCAGTGCTCGTTTTTGTCACTAAATTGCACAATTCCTGCGTTATTTGCACATTCCTATGCACGGTTCTTAAGTAGTATACCACTTTTTACTACAATTGATAAAAAACCAGTACTCCACTCTGAAACCTTGTTCACACCTAAAATACTGTTGATGAAACATAAATTAATGACTACATCTCAACTAATACTGATAGCATTACAACTTAAATTGACTGATGACAGAATTTCAAGTATGATTAAAACAAAACAAGTAGTATTTTTCAAACAGATATAATAAACCAGTATCGCATCTTGATAGCAACATTACCACATTAGAAATATTACATCTCAACTATTGCTGGTAGAAATCAAGAACAGCATCTCCAGCCCTATTTATTTAAAACAAATACAGCATAATAATATATAAACTACTCTTGGTAGCAATCCAAACTCCTTTTGCCGCTTTTCTATACGGTGGCACAGGGGTGACATTATGTGTTTTTTTCTCAAGATACTTTATTTTACACACGAGTTACTAGAGATAAATAAAAACACGCACATGTCACCTCTGTGCCGCCGTACTTTTCTTTTTTTCTTTATTAAAGGATGATATAATGTAGAAATGATGGGTAATTATCAGTAGTATCTGATTGTGTACCGATAACGATACGTGTATTCGGTAACGTATAGATCAACATGACCGATGTAAACACAATTATTTACCGTAACGATGGTAAAAATCAACTCGAGTATAGTGTCAACTAATAGATTTTTCAAAAAGAAAGCATTGCCAAGTTGTGTCTAAAAAATCAGCAGATCGAAAGACTAGAGCAAAGGGTTATCTGCAGCAGCAATAACGGGAAATGAAGCGCTGAAACACCGCACTTTGGGGTCAATGCACTTTGGGTGTCCAACCCCACATATCAACGGAATTTCAACGTTCTTAAGGTGTTAACTTGTCTCATCTGTAATCTTGAAATATTTATGGTGAAGGTCAAGATGTGATCTTACTGTCATTTTAATTATGCTGTAGCAGAGAACATGTATTTTATGCTTATTAAAACTATGTGATAAATGTTTATCAATTTTACGACTTTAAATATTGCAAATCTTTTGACTATAAAAACAAACTAATTTTAATATATTCCTAAACATAACATACGTTTCTAAGAGCATTTTGTTTTGACAGCCATTTACGTGATACGGCTTTGCGTCATATTAAACTTCAAATACAATTTGATGAGCTAAACAACGAATATGTCAAATTAGAATAAAATATTAAATAAATTATGTATTGGTTGCAGCGTTCCATATTATAGGTAAAGAAAATGGTCTCTTCAGAAAAAACTTTTTTTAATGACACTATAGATTCATATTGTAACCACCTATATTCGGTAGAATTTTAAACACCACATATCTACTTTGTGTGAAGTTAAAACATGTTTATTTTGTATTTACAAAGAGACTGTGTAGCAATAACTATTCACATCTACAGTTAAACATCGGTTGTAGATTCTAATTAGGTATTATGGCAAGCATTTGTAAAATTTATTGATTTTTTTTTCATTCATAAGTATTTACTCATTTTAATTTGATATTACAGTATTTCATATTCAAGAACATATTACAAAATACTTAACTTCTAGGTTCGATTTGCTTAAGAATCTCTTTGTTTATTTTAAGTTTATGATCTTATTCTACGAATATAAGTTTGTATTATTCATTATCGTGTATATGTGATGAATTACAATAAAGTGTTGTTAGCACTGTGAAGTTTTATCATTATTTGCCTTGTATTGAAAAGTATTTTACACATTGTGATTTAACCCTCTTTGTTCTAGTGTAAAGCTTATTTAAGTACAAAGTTTGCAATATGTTTGAAACTATTACATTGATGATACAGACTGGGACAGTTTTAATTACAATACATGTGATATTAAAATACTAATAGGACCATTTTGCTGGCGCAAACACGTATTACCTTAACAACAAAAAGCTCAGAAACAACTATTTGATACATTACAAATACGACAATACATGAAATATATCAAAGCACTGATGGTATGGGAATCGAGCGAAGCATTGCAACAGAAGGTTTGCTCGTATGATTTCCAGTTTTGTTATATTCTATTTTAAAGATTTTATATACTTCGTGGGGATTGTAAATATGTTAGCCATTCGCCTTACAAGAGTAAAATATACTTGTATACATATGCAACTTTTCAGTTTTAGCCGATAGCAGTCAAATGATGAAAAAAGTTATTGTTTTCGAAAGGATGAAATGCCTTTACCAAAACAAAACATCCTTTTTGCCTGATATAACAGTTACAGTATATATCTAATTATAAGTATGAATACAACTTTAATGCAACACGTATCATTTTCATATATAACAATCAATATTGATAGACTAAATGTGTATCATTTCAATATTCATAGACCTGTGATACAGCTGATTAGAATGGTATCACTGGGGACCAAATTCATATTTTAATAATATCATAATATGACGAAGAAGGGGAAGACATTTCATTTCCCAATCCACTTATAAATAACGTAAGTGAAACAATATAGAACTAAAATTTCCAATAAAATGACGGGCATGTACATTGTAAATACTTTTTATAATTCATTGGCAATATTTTTTTAAAAGTTATAATAGAAATGCATATTATTAAAATTTAATAATTTCGTTTTTTTTTTATAAATTTCATTTTTTTTAATATTCTATATTTCATAATTGTTAAACACTTAACGTTTTAATTACATGAAAAAAAGTGTATTCACAGGGGACTTTTAGACTAATAAATTTATTTATTTTATTTCAGGACAAGTGAAATATGGTTGCTGTGAGGTACAAGAAACGATTTGTGATAGCACCCTTCATGTTGTTCTCGCTGTATTTTATAGCCACTGACATGATTCCTGTAGATACAACATTCGGCTGGATATATCTTCAGTCGGATATTACGAACACTTCATTATATCGAACTAGGACTCTACACTCGAACGATGGTAGATGCACTTTAAGAGACAGTACACGATTCAAACGTCGCTCAGTAGATTTAAGAATAATTGTGATCACATATGACAGATATAATTCGTTACTAAGGTTACTCAAATCTCTAGAGAGATCATATTATGGCGGAGATAGGGTGGTGATTGATATATGGTTAGATAGGTCAAAGTTACAGCTAGTTCATAATGAAACTCTACGCACAGCTTTAGATTTTAAGTTTAACAAAGGAAGATGTAATGTGTTTGTTCATCCAAAACATGTTGGCATTACAGGGCAGTGGCTGTCGGTAAGTTGAATTTAATAATTACATTTGTCTTCCCATTCAATTTAACATTTATGCACTGCAATCTACGGTTGCTTATAATTGCATGGTGGTCTCCGTGACCTAGTTGTTTGAGTCGCTGACATAAGATATTTCATTTACATTATAAAATTGAACAAAAGAAGACACCAGACAGTAAACACATGATAATGCCACCCATGTTGCATATAATTGAAGGAAAGAAAAAATCGGTCAATGAAATCTAAAAATGGTTTGTCGAAGATTCGAACTTGCAACTTCTCACCACCAGGCCATATGACCATAATCATTATATTATCAAAATTACATACCCAAAATAATATATGAACGGATATGAGTTTGTCGATTTTTGAACGAAAATATTTGAGACATTATATTAAAAATAGTGTTAAAGACGTTTTAACTGACATTACGTCTGCAGGTGAATCAAAATAACATTTAGACCAAGAAAAAGTATCAGGGGCTTGTTGTTGTATACTGTATTGATGAATTAAATCTTTGTTATGCAGAAAAATACCTTTAAGATCAAATAAGCAAAAAAAACTAATACTTCAATGTTGATTGAATATGTTTTTAAATATATTTTCACAATTAAGTGTTAATTTCAGACCGTAATTACAAAATGAATATTTATATTATCTTTAAAACATATATTTACTTAAAAATCTTTATGATAATTACTAATACACTGTCTTATTTTGGATATTTCAGACATGGTCCCCTTTATCAAATTCATCCGAAATAGCTGTGATACTAGAGGACGATTTGACAGTGTCTCCACACTTTTATAGGTACTTAAAACTCGTGCATCAAAAGTACAGTCATAAACAGGATATATACGGGTTTTCTCTACAAGGGAAAAATATGAGACATAGTGATGGAGAATGTTGTCTAAAAGTGCCACTTGAGCATAAAGTATTTCTTTATCCGACTCTTGGAACATCCGGGTTCTCTCCTAATACTCGAAATTGGTTGCAATTTCAAGCGTGGCTCAAAAAAATCGTGCACGAAAAAATAAATGTGGTTCCGTTTATAGAAAACAACGTGGCAGTAAGATGGTACAATACATTGAAAACCCAAGGGAAGGCGGATTCTATGTGGGAAATGGAATATTTGTTCTATACTCAAATCCAGAACGAATTTACCCTCTATCCAAATTTTCCAGGTAAAATTAAAAACAGTTTTATTATTTACAATATATGGAAAACAAAGCCACCACTTTCAGTGCTGGCATTTAAGTGGCCGAATTCATGTGTAAGTGCGATTGACCCTCCATGTTAATATTACAACATTTTATATACATGTATAACCATCCTATTGTCTGTGTCATTGAAATGTTAAACAATATTTGTGTCATAGTTTGGGGACCTTTCTGTTGAAAATGTGTCAGAGTTAAATCGTATACATATACATGCACAGTGCGTTAACTGGAGTGCAGGTATTAGTTACCCGCACTCCAGAGCATGACCATTGATTGGCTCATTTTTGCTGGGGTTTACTTATTGTGATGGCAGAGAAAGGGAAAGCGACAGAAATATCATATTCAGATAGTCGTTCATTGGTTACTTTTTCCCGGGATTTCAAATTGTGACAACTTGGCAATATGATTAGTACTCGGGGGGGGGGGGTGGGGGGGTACGCCCCCTCGTACAAATAAGATAGCCTCGTGTTTCGATGCTTTTTCTATTACATATTGTATTTAACAACATATATTGTATAAACCGGTTATACAGCACAAAAACATTTCACGAACATAAACAAATCCTTGTTTTTTGTTTGTTTTTGAAAACATAACAATCAACTGTTCTTTGTTTGATATGCATATTGCTGCATGTATAACTTATAAGTTATAAAGATTTTTGACAGGTTATATGACCCTATATAACGTTTGCTAGGCGAGGGTTATATTGCAAATAACCGTTTATATACGGCTATATAACCTGTCAGAAATATTTATAGCCAATTTATAATACTATGGTTTTAGGGGGAAATATTTATAACCAATTTATAATACTAAGGTTTGTGGGCGAACGATCAGATTTACCAATGCTTAACGGGTTCAGTCAAACCGAGCCTGCAAATTTTTCAGTATTGGAGTTTTGAGCGTTCTTTAACTATTTTTATATGCTATATTTTGTATTAACCTTTTGAATTTTGAATTGCAGGTAACCGGGGATTCACATTCAATTGGTTTGAAGATGGTCTTCATTCAACCGGAGTTAAAATAGAAAGTCACGAAATGGAGTACAACAACCTAGTGATGGAATGGTCTTTAGATCGTGGTCAATTACCAAATATTCCTTTATATATTGACAACAGTGGTAAAGTTATCAAATAGTGACTAGGCTTTACAACAATATATGTCTTAATCTCAGAAGGTGGTAAAAGTCAAACTTAAAATAGGTTACCCAATGTTGTGGTAACCTCATCCAAGTGTAGTACAAAGATGAATTCCAGATTGTGACATCATCTGTACACATTGTTTCATCATAATTGTACACAATTGTTGTATCATATGTGTACATGTTGACATATTGTTCCATCATTTGCGTACAAATTGTTCCATCATGTGTATACACATTGTTTCATTATTTGTTTACACATTGTTTCATCATGTGTGTACAGATTGTTCCATCATGTATAAACATATTGTTCCGTCATGTGTGTACACATTGTTCCATCATTTGTGTACACATTGTTTCATCGTGTATGTACAGATTGTTCCATCATATATAAACATATTGTTCCGTCATGTGTGTACGATTAATCAATCATTTACATACAGATTGTTCCATTAAATGCGTACAGATTTTTATATCATGTGTGTACAGATAGTTCCAAGATTTGTGTACGCTATTTTAAATGGCATGTGTAATGTTGACTTTCTTGTTTAGAATATGTTACCGTTTTAATACGTTAGAACAATTCGAAATCGAGGCTATTTAATTAATGTAGATTTAATACTGAATTCATTGAACGAGTTAAATAAAATTATAGTATTCGAGCCTCTGGCGACCATGCTATTATTTTATTCAACGAGTTCAATAGATATACTAACGAAGCTACATGAATATAATATTTTATTATCAAAAATACTTGTATACGAACTGTATACGGTAAAATGAATCGCCTTTTCATTGACGCGCTTATAATACAGCGCTGACATTGAGCGCGTCTTTACGCTTTACGCTATGATTGTCTTACGCAGATGACGTCACGTCAAAACCGATTTCACGGTCTATGTGATAAACATACTTATTACAACTTTTCATTCTATTTGAATTTAATTCAACATTAGTATATTAGTATTGTCATTTAAACTATTTTTGTGTGGATAGATCTATGTACTTTTTATTTGTGGATATGTATTTTCGTATTTTCTTACTTAACATGAAATTAATACGTAAACACTTCAGAACGATGTATAAACTATTTTGCCTGATTCTGTTAAAGTTAACTTTTTATAAAAGTCATATGAGTTGCTATATTTGCATGATGTTAGCTTTAAACGTGTTTATTTATTGTGTATGTGTTTTTAACAATAGAAAAAAATAAGAAATGTGTGTCTTTTTATACAACTTAAGTTATATTCTATACTCTTTCGCTGAAGAAAGAAAGTTCTTACTTTCAAAAAAATATGTATATTAAGAAGTAATTAATTCCAAACAGTGATTTTTATCGCTAAATAAAATCACTGCTAGGAGTTCGGATTCGTGTTCGTGGTGTTAAATGATGCGCAGTGATTTTATCTCTGATTTGGACATATTATTTCGTTTTAACACGACACCAACAAATAAATGCTGCCGTTCCTGATATAAAACTAAATTGCGCCTGATTTGTTTCCGTCATTTTTTTTCATTGCGTCTTTAATTTATAATGGTTACGTCACATCGCTAATGGTTACGTCCAATGTATAAATGTATAACGTCAACAGGGATTTCTTTTGCATATTCTAACACGACCTGCAATCCGTGCTGTTCTACATAAATTAGAAACTTCGACGGAAGCGACAGCGACCGGAGAATGTTTCTAACTTCTGTAGAACTGCTACGGATAAATACTAACATATTTAGTGTCAAACTTTATTTGGCCTCATTCATAGTCACTTTATTAGTCACTACCATTTCACTTTATAAAACAATTACCTGAATGGTGGATTTGAATTTGACCTTAAAAATATGCATGATTTACATCATTTTGCGCGCGAAATGCATGTATTGGGAAATATTTTGCGAGTATTCATTTGCTCGAAGTTGGACAATTGATATGATTTCTACATGTATACACTAAATGTCATGTGATAAAACAAAGTCACGTTATGTATTTTCCAAAAACATAATGTCTACTTTCACTTTCTGTGTACCGAAAAAAAAAAGCGAATAGACACACGTGACTTTTCCTTTTCCTACATTCGTAATAAGAATAAAATGAACTTTTACTTTTTACACTCACTAAGACGTGACTTTTTGGACGTTTTTGGAAAAAATATAACGTGACCTAGCTCGTGTTAACACATGACATTTAGTGTATACATGTATAAATCATATAAAATATTAGCTACTAAGTATCAGTTGTCCAACTCATCAAAGTGTATAAATCGGATCAGGAAACAATTATCCAACTCATCAAAAAAGTTTTCAATATCGAGCAAATGGAAACTTGCATCAGCCATTGCTGCCAACTGAAACACAAGGGGTACATGGGTCTTCGCGCGCAAAGTGATGTAAATCATGCATATCCTAAACCGACCATTCAGGCAATCGATTAATAAAGCAGACTGGTAGTGACGTAAAAAAGTGAATATTAATGAGGCCAAATAAAGTTTGATACTAGATATGTTAATATTCATCCGTAGCCGTTCTACAGAAATAAGAAACATTGTCCGGTCGCTATCGTTGCCGTCGAAGTTTCTAATTTCTGTAGAACAGCACGGATGAACACTAACATATACATAGAAGCACCGAAAGTGTGTTTTATTATGCAATTAATATTATTATAAGGCCGGCAGAGCCCCGAGGGATGACGATGGAGCTACGGTTGATCCAGGTAGAGCCCCGGCAAAGCCCGGTTCATTTCAAAAGAATCACGACAATTTGCGCTGATTTTACTTGCTTGTATAAAATCCTTCCCATTTCTCTTTTAAAGGATTTTCGGAAAGTCATCATGAATTACTGTTCTGGAACAATAGATATAATATTAAATAAAAATTATGTATTTTCGCGCGTTTTCAATCCACCGGGGTTCTACCCGGACTCTGCCTTGATCGTCCTGGGCTCTACCGGAGCTCTTCCTGGATCGACCGGGGCTCTGCCTGGGTCAACCGGAGCTCTTCCGGCGTTTTCTGGAACGGCCGGGGAAGCACCGGCATGAACCGTAGCTTCACCTGGGCTCTGCCTGGATTGTCCGGAGCGCATCCTTGGTGGTTAGTTGGAAATTACCGTAGGGCTGTCGGGGTAGATGTGACCGCAACAATAATTTCACCCCGGATCGGCCCGGATCATCTAAGTAACTTACCGGGATGGTCCTGGGCTCTGCCGGGAGTAAGTGAGACCGCAGCTTAAAATCAGTAATTTTATGGCTTGTTAAAATTCCTGTTTGTCGTTCGGATGCGCATCGGCTACGCCCTCGTTATATAATTCCTCGCTTCCGAACTCCAACATTCCAAAATGATTAGATACATTATCTCTTAAAGCTGCATGCCTCCAGATGACCCAAAATATTTCAAGAAAATTAAACTTTAAAAAACCATACTTAAACTTTGAGAAAAGTAAACAAAATAAAGATTCAAGTGATAATTTATATCTTAAGTGCAATAAATGACTGTATTTTGTAGTATTTATCACCATATTTCTACTACGTTACTAACGCAGTAGGGGCTATTTATGCATATTTTGACCTCTTTTTGGTAATTTACGTGGATTTTAAGTGCCGATTGTAATGTGTCAAGTACTTTCTTTGTTCATTTCACAATATTTTACCTTTAAATACATTTTCAAATTTTCATGAAAAGTAGGATGAATCTGGAGGCGTGCTGCTTTAAATAACACACACTTTCCGTTCTTCTATGTTCAAAAGGGAAAATGCGGGTCGTGTTAGATTGATAGTTAAAGAGAGAATCTTTAAATACAATTGTGGCAACATGTTTTGCCTGTACATGTGATGATGATTAGATTTTAAAAGTCAATGTGGTCTTGTTGATTATATATAATAGGGAGAAATTCAATTAATATTAGAGTAACAACATTTCATAAAAAGATATTGTGAAATAAAAATGTACTGTATGTATTGATATGTAGATCTAATGAGTGCAGTGAATTTTAGATTGGCGAAAGGGTGAAAACTCAAAAACAGAATAACAGTTCATCAACCACAAATAAGGGATACATGATTTATACAAATTATTTAAGATGTTTGTTGCAGTTTCTAAATTTTCCTTCCGTATTTCCGTTTTACAGATTTTATGATACTTATCAGTAAGAGCTTATCAAAAGAGCTTTATTTTAGTGATGAAAATAAACCGTTACAAAAATTGATGACATCGACACTTTCAATGTTGTTAGATCTACCATGACAGTTTATTCATTTCTGCTGATAGTATTAAAGAAACCTGTCGGCATTATATTAAAATGAGGAATATCAGTTATTATTACCCCTAACCTTTTTGTAATGTTAATTTCCCATTTGCCAATGGATGTTACTGTTTAAGCAAGTGCACCACGTGACTAAGAGTATTCGTACTTTTTAACAGTATTATTATCAGGTCACGTGGGGTTTTCTACAAAAATGAAATGGCCGTCATTTTGTTGCCCAACAGAGTGCTCTTTGCGTCTTTAATACATTTTGGTTGAATAGTTAAAAAGTAAACATGCGTGTTCAGCGGGAATTATTGCATGGGAATAATTACATGTTTGTGTCAAAATGGAACAAGCAGACGATTAAAGCACGCAACAAAGGATTATTTATTGAACTTAATCCGTGAAACATAGACTGATGTAGGATATCATCGTAAATGGCAATCATCACTTGCTTAAAGAATAAAAGAAAAAGAAAACTTCTCAAGTAGACCTAAAGTATACTTAAAACCTAAAAGTGATGATATCTACAAATCATAAACATAAAATAAGCTAGGTTTTTGTTTAGAAAACAAAACACTAACCCATTTACACGGTTATGATCTGTGAAATCTGATTCTTCTGTTTTCAGAATATTTTTTTAATGATGAAGAAGAAAATTTTATTTAACTTACACATTTACATGTATCTCGTTATACATCAATACATATAAAACATTTTGTCACGGTTGGTATTCAAATGAAAGAGAATAATTAATGTTTCTGTTTATACAATATGGAGAATAAGCTCTAAGAAACATGAATTAGATATTTAATAACAGCAATTGTTCACTAATAAAGTGTCTAACAGTGAATATAATGAATAGTGTTATAGTCTTAAAGTCTAGGATATGAATTCAACAAATCATTTCTTTTCTTATTGGCTAAATAAATAAATTTGCGAAGATTGTTAAAGACAGATTTATTGTTTGACTTAAGCATTTCTGTGAATTTGAACATACTGGGTCTATGATAAAAATAACGTTTAATTAATCGAATTCTCAATTCATGGTAAACACTGCATATAAGAATAAAATGATACTCGTCTTCAATCTCAGAACATTGACACACTTGGATAAATTTTCCCGTCTATCTATTCTATTCCTACCATATCTACCTGTTTGAATTCTAAGATTATGCGAAGAAATTCTTAAACGCGTAATACTACTCCTTAGATATTTAGATTTGATAGCATTTAAATAATTTTCAAAACTTAAATCTGTTTTTAGATGAATATAAAGAGTATTTAAAACACTATTATTGTTTAAATCTGCTTGCCATTTTTGTTTAAAGCAATCCAAAACTCTTTGTTTAAAATGTACCAAAAATGCATTTATATTAATTATTATTATTAATTATTAATATATTAATTTCATATGGTTTCAAAAATACATCTGCAAAACCATAATTTTCTAATATTATTTTAACATTGTATGTCCAATTGTTGGCACCATTTAAACATTGTTTTAATGAGTTATTATATATCGTATTTTAAATAATATTATTTGTATTTCAAATTTTCAACCAATATTTTATCATTTGAACATATCTGTTTATATATAAAGGGTATCTTCCTAATTCTCCATATACAGCACTATTGCTGGAACTTTTCTTAACCCCTAAAATATATTTGCACAATTTGAGATGTACACTTTCAATATCTTTTGACTTAGAAAATCCCCATACTGGACATGCATAATTCAGAATAGAGCCAACAAAAGAATCAAATAATTGTAAAGAAATATATGGTGATAATTCTACCTTATTAATATTACTTTGTAGAACGTTACATGCTTTTAAGGCTTTTCCAATAATATATTAATTATGTAAAACAAATGAACCCGTATAATTTAAAACTACTCCTAAATAGTTGAAATCATTAACTATGTCTAATTGTTCTTTATTAGTCCCCTACCGGTTTACCGGAGGGGACTTTAGGTTTACC